TTGTGGAGGCAAAAACTAGTAGAGAAATTCTCCTTTAAGGTATAATTCTTGGCCCTCTCAATAGTTGTTGAATGACCAAGTGATTTTGCTCACTTACCCAATATTATCGACTATTCCCTATTCTGCCAGGTGCCTAAAATCTGATGGCACAATGCAGAACTTGCTAGACAAGATTTGTACTCTCCTGGAACTTGAATTCTGCTAGGGGTATAAAGAGAGTAAAAATGTAATTGACATTAGGAAATGCCACAGGCAGAACAGAAGGTAGGGTTGGGATAAAGAGCCACATGGGCGGAGAGAGCTCTCTGAGGTAGTGCTATCTGAGCTAAGAAGGCACCAAATATGAAATCTTTGAGAAGAATAGAATTCTTTTCTAGATTGCATAAGGCAGGCTGAAGATAAAAGAAGGAAACCCTAGCCTAGACACTTCAGCCGAAGAAGGGATTCTTTCCCCCCCCCCCCAGAATCTGGGCAATGAGAGGTGGGGAAGAGAGGAAGAGAGAGGCAAAAGGAAGAGGTAGAGGAGAAGGAGGAGAAGGAAAAGGAGGAAGAGGAGGAGGAAGAAAAGGAGAAGGAGGAGGAGAGAAGAGGAAGAAAGAGAGGGAGATCAGAGGAGGAGGAGATGGGATGGAAGGAAAAGGAAGGGGATAGAAGATGATATTGAAAACAAGGGCATTAATGCAAAATTGATTCAAGGCCCCTGCCTTGAGGTGAAACTCTTTGCGGCTGGGCATCTATTCCCAAAGCAAGCCAACGGAAGGGTTGTTCTCTAAGAAGATTGGCTAGCTCTAGACCAATGCATAAGAAATTTTGAGATGCCCCAGTGTGATGGTGCCATCCTGCCCGATAACTTTAAAGGAGGGGGTTCCTTTACTCAGATTTGCCAGGGTATATACAGAGCTCCTAGGCAGCCATTTATTGTCCTCTTTGCAAATATGGACAACTAAACTTCTTTAGACCTCTGAATAACACTTTCAATGTAAATGAATAACAAAATGGTTCCACCTAGTAAATTGGTGACTTATGACAGTCTTGCTTGGAGCCTGTCAGAGTTAGGGAAGTCTTGGGAACCAGGAAGGACATTTAGCAGTGAGCCTCATAGAGGCCAAAACTTTTCACAGTGAGGCCTTTGATATTACCTAAAAAGCAAAGTTCGAATTGAAAGAGGAACATGTTCCCTATTGAAGGTTAAACCTCAGGCCTGTTGGCCTATAGTTTACTATGAATTAATATTATGCGAGTCTTGTAATACCTTTGGATAATAGAATTACACTGTAGTTTAAGTGTGAACATGCAAAGTGTAACTTCATTAAATGTAAAATATTAACATATATGTTGATCTTTAAAACTCTTTTGGCATATACGTTGCAATTTGCTGAGTCTCAAAAAAAAAAAAAAGAAAAAAAAGAAAATAACTTTGGTAGCTGAGTCATCTGGTTTACTCCAGAGTGTCATTGTATATTTGCAACAAGTTTTCAAATTACTTTCTGTTACTCATGACTAGTACCACTTGCATGTGAATTTTTGCTAGTTTCTATTTAAGGTCATGGGACCCTTTCATGTGGGACAGAGGTAATAGGTTGGACAAATGCTGTCAGCTAAGTCAAGAGAAAGCTCTAGGGGCCTCTTTGCACTCTCTCTGAGTATTTTCTACATGATATAAAAGAAGTACTGCGCAAGAACGACATGAAAATGAAACTACTGAAATGGAGGAAATGGAAAGTGTAGCAGGGTCAGAAAGGTGGTAGGTGTTAAGAATATGGTCTGCTCTTGAGAAGTCTAGAAAGGTTTTTCCTGAAACTTAATACCAGCTTTATGCTGAATGCTTTCTGTAAATATTTCCAAATGGATCTTTTCAGGCTTCTCCAGCATCATTGCCAGTCAGTTAAATCCTACTCATTCATCAAGGTCCATCTAAATGCCCTATTTTCGGTGAGGCTTTGCTAGAAGCCCAGCTGGAAATAATCACTCATTTCTATGAGTTCTAATGATCAAATCATGGTCTCTCTCTCTCTCCCTCTCTGTATCTCTTTTTTTCCCTTCCCTCCCTCCCTTCCTCCCTTCCTCCCTTCCTTCCTTCCTATCTCTATCATCTGTCTATATGTCTAATGTGTGCTCCACTTTTCTAGGCACTAATTTTATGTAGTGATATATGGTTCACAAGTGACTTTCTTCCTTTCTTTCTTTTTTGGGAGGGGGGGTCTGGTCGTGGGGCCTGAACTCTGAACCTGGGTGCTGACCCTCAGCTCTTCAGCTCAAGGCTAGCGCTCTACCACTTGAGCCACAGCGCCACTTCCGGCTTTTTTTCTTTTTGCTTATGGAGTGCTGAGGAACCAAACCCAGGGCCTCATGCATTCAAGGCAAGCGCGCTACCACTGAGCCACCTTCCCAGCCCCACAAGTGACTTTCATGCATGTTTTCAGATCCAGTTGTCATCATTATAACGTTATAGGTTGAGACACAAAGATATAGGAATTTGTACATAGACTGACTTCATAAATTGTGAGTACAAATCAAAGTTGTGTGAGAGATCCAAAATGTAGTATTCTAATGGTTGGATTTATTAGCCCAAAGTTATTTGGAGTTAGGCCATAATATTAAATATGAAGTGAGACTGTAAGAGGAAATGGACACTATGTACAGAATTTTTAGGAGTTAAAAATGCCTAAGTTGCAAAATCATTGACCAGACCACTGATGTCACATTCAGACCACCAGAATCTCTAATAAGTTATAGCACCAAGCATGCTGAGGTGATAGACTTCTTTGGATGGTTGAATAGGACTTTTTTTTTTAAATAAAAAGTATCACTCAGGAAGTTTCAATATTCAAAATTGATGTTTACCTCAGTAATATTGCCAAGTAATTTCAGTTAACATGGATATGAATTGTCTTGTTTTCTAAACAACCATCTTTAGTCTTCTGGAAATCTTGAAGTGCACTTACAAATGTTTAAAATTATCAGAACTATAATAGTTTTGTAATATGTGTCAGGTCCTATTTGGTATTTCTATATGCTCATGCTATTTAAGAGAATTTGATGTATTAACATGCTATTTACATTTAAAAATATATAATTGACAAAATTACTAAGATACAACTTCATGACAATTAATATCAATCATATTTATAAATATAATTTATTAGATAAAATGGGAGCATTTGTTGATCAAAGATAATTGATGTTTTTAAAATGAAATTGAATCTATATAGTTTAAACTATTTGAAATAATTTCATTTCCTATTTGTAAATTGAGGCAGTTGTTAGCAGAAGGCTTTTCAAAAGTGACTTAAGAAAATAGGAGAATTAATAGTTGTTCTACTAATAGAAAGATAAGATTTGTAATCTGAACCCAAAGAGAAAAATTGTTTTTAAACTTATTATTTCAATATATTGATTATTAAGTTAAAAGATCCAAGATAAACTTCTCAATGGTCCTTTCAGTGTATAACACTCATGCTCAGATAAGGTAGATTTGCAGAGTTTTTCTCCCAAGGTCACAGCTAATAAGAAGAGACTCAGCAACAACTTACCCAGGATTCAGTCGAATCCTGCAATATTCTCAGTATTTCTTTGTAGCACATGTATTATTTTGCCTAAGATTTGATTATTGATCTGTGTCTTATTTGACTACTTATCTCTCCTCAGTTGCCAACACAGCATCTAACATGGGTAGAGATAGGGGAGACTCAATAAAATGTATCAGATTCAAATGGCTATAGCTTTCAGCAGCCTCAGAGAAAGGACGGCTGGCCTGGGGATTTATAGAATGCCATCTTTCTCTGACCCTATTTAGCCTTAAGAGAGGCTGAATTGCAGCCCTGAACCTCAGAGGCTTCTGCTCAGGTGAAGTGGATAGAGATAGACACAGTTTGCTGCCTGACTTATTTTAAGATTTAATACTCTGGATATCCTTCCCACTCTTAGGATAAAGACAACATCCTTTCTATGGTCAGGAAGGCCTGAGTTGTCCAGCTCTGCTCACCTCATGTCTGCCTGCTGAGTACACTGGCCTCATTTAAGTCCTTGAACATCCACGCTCTTCTTTTGATACAGTTAGTTCGCCACGTGGGGCACTCACAGAACTCTGAGTCTCTCCTCCATGGCACTTGTCAGAGGATATAAGTATGCATTTTTAGTTGTAATTATTTAATATTCTCCTTCTATGGAAAGTCCTTAGCTCTGTGCACCTGGCCCTTTTGGTTCACCATTACACTTGGTACAAAGTAAGGGTGTGATAAATGTAGGGTTTTGTTGTTGTCATTAGCACTTAAAACTTAGCTGTTGTTGGGGTGGATAAGTGAGTGAATATTTGGGGATCGACCTGCTGGTGATCTCTTAGACTAGTCTGGTCTCCACTCAGCCAGGAAGGATTGTAGATGAAATCTTATCAGACAGTTAGGGGACATGATGTCTATGATTCCTTCCAGGCCAGTGAGCCTTTAGCTTCAGAAAGGCTGTTTGTCATTTTGTGTTAGCTACTGCTTTAATCATTCCCATGGGGAATTCTGGCTGTGTATGTGCATGTATAAATGTGTGTGTGTGTGTGCCCGCGCATGCACACGCGTGCGTGCGTGTGTGTGTGTGTGTGTGTGTGAGAGAGAGAGAGAGAGAGAGAGAGAGGGGAAAAAGAGAGAGCAAGGAGGGGGAGAGAGAGAGGGAGAGAGAGGAGAGAGAGGGGGGAGGGGAGGATGGGCGAAGGAAGAAAAGAGTGGAGAGGAATGGGGAGGTGGAGAGAGCACATTCCTATGCAAGGTGATGGGAAATGACCCAGGGAGGACTCTGCACAAAACCTTGGTTTCCCCATTTGCCTCACTGAAGCCAGGGAGGTCTTCTTTGGTTAGGAACAGGGTCAGCAGAAAATTGTCAAGCCCCTGAACATCAATGAGTTTTGCATTTCCAAACGATGAGTTTATGATTAAGCTCCAATAACTCAAAGGCACCATCCGTGAAGAATGCCACTTTTAACTAGCAATTCTTGTTCTCTTTAATCTCTTCCCTCCCTTTACTTTTAAAATCTGTGTCTCCAAATTCCTCAAACCACAAACATGAGTGGAAGGATGGGGGGACGAAATTTTCTGATGACACAGAGACACCCATGATGATGAACCCATCAGGTAAAGAGAGGGAGAGGGAGAGAGGGGGGGAGGGAGAGAGGGAGAGAAGGAAAGGGAGGGAGGGAGAGAGGAGAAGGAGGGAAAGAGAGAGAGAGTATAAGGGAGATTACAGAATGAGGATCTTATTTCTTCAAAAAGACTTGGGGTGGGGCTGGTAAAGCACTTGCTTGGTATGCATGAAGCCCTGGGTTTGATTCCTCAGTATCACATAAGCACAAAAAGCCAGAAGTGACAATGTGACTCAAGTGGTAGAGTGCTAGCCTTGAGCAAAAAAAGCTGAGGGACAGTGTCCAGGCCCCGAGTTCAAGCGGGGCAAAAAAAAAAAAAGACTCTAAGTATTATGGCAGCATCAGTTCAGCGGGTGCCTTGTATGTTGATTGTGAATGCTGGCTGATGTTATGGAATTAAATTTGGAATTCTCTTCCTTAAAATCATTGCATAGGACAGGGGACGTAACTCTGGCCTCCAACATTGCCAAAAATAAAATAATAAAATACCAAACCAGCCTCACTAAACAAAACAAACCAAATCTAACTCTTCCACCAAAAAACAAATGACACATGCACAAAATCCAGACCAACACACACACACACACACACACACACACACACACAGTGTTCCTTAGACCCCCACCTGACTGCTCTTCCTCTAGTCAAATAATGTTATTACTATTGAGTTACTACCATGTAGACTAGGCATTGTGTGTTCCAGTATTGGCTCTAATTACTCCCCAGCAGCCCTGTGAGGTAAGTTTTATTGAACCCATTTTCCTGGTGGGAAAACTGAGCCTCAGAGAGTTTTGTAATTTGCCTAGCATATGCCATTAAGAAGTGGCCAAACCAGTATTCTGAATGGTGTGTCAGCTCCATAGCCTGTCCCTCTCAGCACTCTGAGTCTGGTAGGAATGGCAGGGATTGCCTGCATCTGTGGTCTTTTGTATTTCCTCCATAGCAGGAGCCTGCTCTTTTGGGAAAGGTCTTTCAATCACTGTGCTTATTTGTTCTACTTCTCCTTTACTAATTCCTGTTTATATTCAGAAGCCCCGCTGATTTTCCTTCCAGATATGTCAGTCCCTGTAAAAGCAACCAGCTGTCTTCCAGGCCCTTCACCTTCTCTATGTGATAACAATCTTCATCCGCACAGACCCAGAGCTCTTTTAAACCATGGAGGTGACTGGTTAGGAGTCAATCAGCAGAGCTACTCAATAATGACCTAAAATGGAATTGGAAAGCCCACTGGGGGGTTGAAATGTTTAAGAAAATGTAATTGAGTTTTCTGTTTATCTTTCTCAGTGAGTGTGGGTTTTTTTTCCCTGATTGATGAATGGGTTTTCTAGCTAACTCAGTTCACATGAGATTGAGGGACAGGATGTAGGAAAAGAGTCCTATGCTGCCTTGGACGAAGTGCTGATGTTGAGCCTGTGGGTGAATAAGATAGATGGGTGCAGGAAGAGAGTTCAAGGGAAGAAAAGGCAATAAAATTTCAGTTCTTTTACAAACTCACTAGTTGATGTAAGAACAATTACTGCTTGGGTAATGGGAATATCTGGACTTTGCATGGGTGGGAAAGCCTCTGTCATCTGGGTGGGTTGAGCCACACACACAGGGCTGAGACTCTTAAGTGCTTGCAAACGCAGACTTTCAGCCACTAGCCTTTTACCCTGATTGCTTTGCCCAGAGAAGGGAGACATGTCAGGGCGGTTTGACACGTTCCTTTGAAGATCCAATGTTTACCTTACTTTGCGGGATTATTTTTTTAAGACAAACAAAAGCAATCCCCCCCCCCCAACTTTCTCAGTCACTCAAGTCATTAAAAAATAATTGCATGTTCTTTTAGGCTTTTTCTATGAATAGCATACATTGGTTTTAAAACTTGGGTGGTAATATGTAAGCTTACCTTTTCTCTTTCCTTCTTAAAGTGAAGTTCTTCATCTTCCCAAGACTTCTTACTATGTGAAGAAAATTGACTAGAATACTTGCTAGGAATTTCAATTTTTATAGACACTCAAACCATGAGGTGTTCTGTGATACAGGGAAAGGAGGAATAGTATGTCTTCCTTTTATTCATTCTCATCTAAGGGAATAGCTGGGGGAGACAGTTTTTGAAAAGGGAATGTTATGAACCAATGGGAGGTTTTAAAACCCTCTGTTGTCTAGTCTTCTTGGCCACTGTCTTCTTCATGACCTGCTTGCTTCTAATTCCTTTGGGAAGCAGGAAGAGAGAGCAGAGAGAGGGTATGATTGCTTGCGCCTGAATGTGTCATTTACTTCTTGAAATGAAAAGGTGAGAGTAGAGATTTTTCTTGTTGTGTGTGTAGATGTTGATATGGAAACAAAGTGGAGTATAAGACTAAAATGGAGATGAGCTCATTAATGCTGACCACTTCATGACCAAATTAATAGAATTTTATTTTTGTTGTTGTTGCTCTGGGACTCACAAATAGAATTTGACTTTGAAAAAATAGTTCTTAAGAAATCACAGCTTTTCTATTGTCATGCAAGAAATCATTTTTAAAGTATTAAATGCATAATAATGTCACTTTGTGTTTAAAAATACTTAATGTTAGATATTATCTTGTTTAAAGATAATCAGTACATTTCTACAAAGAATTATATCATTGAAAATGTAACAAGTTAGAGATTTAAATATTAAACAAGAAAGAGCAAAGCAAAGAACAGAAGGTAAGAAGGAAAGGAGAAAGGGAGGGAAGAAGGAAAGAAGGGAAGAAAGAAAGAAGAAAGAAAGGGAGCAAGGGAGGAAGAAAGAAAATAGAGATGAAAGAACAAATCAGGGAAATTGAAAGCATGAATATAATTTGTCAAGACATTTTCTGAAGCAAAGTCTTAGCTTCAGAATATCTGAGTTTTTTTAGAATTCAATATATATATATATATATATATATATATATACTTTTAATTAAAAATATTGCAAAGGTTATCTACAGAGGGGTTCTGGTTACCTGATTTAGGCAATGAGTTCATTAGGATTCAAAATATTTTGAGACTATTTATCTATCTAAGCTGTGAAAGGTCAAATGGAATTTATATCAAACTCTTAATTGCATGGATGGCTGCTATCTGTAGCTTTGTCTTCTCTGGTATCTTGCAGAAGGCAACTCAAGAGCTATCAAACCAGACTCTGACATGTGACATTTGGGCCCATGGAAAATCAGGTACCATATTCAATTCTGAATTTGAATCCAGGTCTAATTCTGGGCCCTGGAGAGGGATGATATAAGATAACCAACATGAAATTGTCTGAAAGGTAAAAACATTTCTTCCAAACTTACGCGTTTAACAACTATGATTCCTTTTTTCAGGTGAATTTGACAGAGCACATGAACAAACATACAAAACTTCCTGCCTGTTGTCAGGACAGAAATCGCCTGGTGTCAGATGCCATGTCTCTCACATTGTTCCCAGAGTGAATCTCAAGTTGCATACATTATGCCAATATAGATAAAACTGGTTGTTCTTAAATATTTAGTTTCAATTCTTCCAAATCTACAGATTATACTTGTGTGCATTCCTCCTCCTCAATAACTGAAACCAAGTTTACTGTTTAGTTTTACTTTAGTGGTTCAGATAATTTTTACTATTTAGCTTTGCAGTTACCATGAATTTTGCCAACTTAGTTGTTTAAATATCAATGACAAAAGCAGGGGTAATATAATCATTATACTCAATAATTTCTAATAGGGAGCCACCTTGCAGATTGTCACTGGTCTGTGAGCTGATAGTATAAATCGTTCAGTTTGTTAAAAATGTAAGAGTCGTTCTTTACCTTCATTACACATTTCTGCATTGGTTCATTATGGAACAATGAGAAAAAAGCCAAGGGGATTTTTGCCCCTAAGCTTGTGCTTGAGACATTTGAACCTTATCAACCTTTACTCCTTTATAAATGTTAATAAATGTTCCCAAGGAGACTTACCTCTCCTCTGCAGTTTGATCTCTCAGATTGTAAAGAAAATGTTTTCTAGGGACAGCTGGAAACTTCCTACTTTCCTTGCATATGACTCGCTTTGGCTAGGTACATGGTATCTTATTTGAAGCTAACTTAGTAAGGAAAGAATGTTAGATTACCCAAGGCCATTAGCTCAGCCTCTAATATAGTCATCATAGGTCTTGCTTGAGATGAAATAAATTGGTGATCTTGTCCCAGATGAAATGATGGATGGAAGACATTAGTTGCCCAAGTTGACCCTTTGGCTTTCTGATAATAACATCAGAACAAAAACAACTCTCCCAGTGTCATCCTTTTTCATGGCAGTGTTAGGACTCATTTGTTTGAGAATCTGATTTACGTGGAGCATTACAAGAGAGACAGGGCTCACTCTGAGTGAGCTCATGTTTACCGTGAGCAAAATGGAGACTGATAGAAAGTTCTTGTTTATCTAAAACTGAGGGACCAAGATGTGAGATAACAACATAGCATTTCGAAAAACCTTTCTGTCCAGAATGAGGAATGTAGCAAGGTGCTAAAGCATGACCATAATGACATGAACAGGGAAAATTTTAACCGTGGCCCAATCCTGAATATCTCATTTGGAAAGAACAAAGATACAACTGGAAAAAAGAGACTTACATAGTACTTAGGATCCTAAAATGTTAACCATGGTTAATAGTATGTGAGATCATTTTTGGATGTGGAGAAAGTAGGTGAAATGAAAAAGAAAGATTTATTTATGAATCTTCCTTCCCTGTTACTAGTAACAACTTTCACCACAAAGGCTTACTATTCCAAATACTTCACCAAAACATTTAGATGAGAAAACTGAGGCTCATATAACCTAAATAACTGACATCTAACTGTGTATGCAAGCACACATGCATAAATATGAAGGTAGAGTTTATCTTGATTAAGTGGAATTGATCAATCAGTGAGAATTTCTCTCCACACCCACTGTAAATTAGTGGACAGATCAGTAAATAGCACAGTTTTCCTAAAAATAATTGCAAAAACAGTAATTACAAAATGTCAATCTTTGAAATTTGATCTTTGTTTTCTTTTTCATTTTCCTGACAAGTAACAACCGATGAGTTGTTACTGGTAAAAAAAAAAAAAAAAAAAAAATGGTTCCCAGGTCCTGGCAGGATTTCAGTTTATAGAGAACACTAACATGTTTGTTGACTTGACTGCCAGAACAAATCTGTGAATTCATACTGGAAACTCTAGAAAGAGTTTCAAACAAGCACAGTGGAAACATAAAGCTTATTTTTCTTACTCCTCAATTAACCAGAGCATTCCAGTTCATTAAGTGTCCTGTATTGATCTGGTACATTTTAAGGAATGGAAAGGACCGTGTGGCTGGAACAGAGTAAAAGCCTAGAGAGTGACAGATAACACTGGAGAGGGAGCAGGACAAGTTCATAATGCATTTCTAGGCTGTCTAAAAGAGCTGGGGTTTAACTACAGTGCAAAGAGAAGTGGTCAAGAATTCAGAGCTAGGGAGCAGAATGATGTAACTTGTAATTTTAAAAGACCATCCTGGCTGTCCAGTGTAGTCAGTGGAAGAGTACACTTGAGGCCAGGATGCTCTGGACTTAGATGATAGCAATGAAATTGGAGAAAAGGAATGTATTCAAGGTACATTTTGGTAACAGGAATTATTGGATTTGATGATAAATTAAATGTGAGAAAAAGAGAGAGAAAGAAGAATGGAGAACTCAATGCTCCTGGCTTGAGCAACAAGAGAGAAAATGGTAACACTTGTTAGGAAGGAGAAGATGGGCAAGGGAGAAGGCATGAAAAAGATAATATGGATCTCAGTTATGGATATGTTAAGCAGCTATCCAAATCTAGGCATATATCAAGTATATCAAGCAAATGGAGGTTCTGGTTAAAAGGTCAAAAGAACTATTTGGAATAATGGTATACTGTAAATGTGCAGCCATTGATATATTGTTGATCTCTGAAACCTTGGGATTTAGAAGACTTTGGAGATTAAAATGTCAGTTGAGAAGAAAAAAAGTGCTTAGCATTACGCTATGAAGAGTTCATTATTTGGCAATCTAGGGGAGGTAATAAAGCCCTAAAGAAAACAGAGAGGAAGCAATCTACATGGAAAACAAAGGAAGAATACTTCAGAAAAGAGGAAGTGGGCCATTCCATCAGCTGGGATTAAGTAAAGTGAGTTTTGCATTGCAATAGTAACTGGATTATTTTCTACAAAATGTCCTATTCTATAGGTAGTCTCAAAATTAAGAATTTGTTAAAGCTTCAGAGCATATATTGGACAAATATTAAGAATTTAATGTTAATTTAAAAATTTAATGAATGCTTATAAAATCACTTTTTAATCTAGCCATGTTATTGGTGTTTAAGTATGGACTCAGGACAAGTGAGGGTTTCTCGTCTACTTGACATTCTTTAGTGGAATTCATACAAAATGCAACATTCAAAGGTCAAAAGCTATGTACATATGACCATATAAGATGATGCTAAGTGAAATGAACCCCAAGATAGGACCACAAGAGGTTGTATCTTTGCTGTTGTTGTTTTTAATGTGCTTATAATGTACTATGTGATTTTTTTTGTTTCTTTTGTACGTTCTTCCCCTATGGTATAACCCCTGTCTTCACTATATTTGACTCCTGTATCTTGTATCTTGCATATACATTTTTCTAATTTGGGGAGGGGAAGGGAAATAACAAAATGCTGAAACAAGGATACAGGTTGACCCATTGTAACAGTGAAATGTACAAGACACTGCTCAAAAGGAACTTTACAACTTTGTGTTGGGAAGGGAGGAGTTGGGGAGGTGGGGAGGGAAGGTGTGGTTGGGGAAAAACAAAGTACAGGGTAACAATGCTCCATAGGAAATGTGCTCATTACCTTACTCATGTAACTGTAACCCCTCTGTACAGTACTTTTACAATAAAAATATATATTAAAAAGTTTAAAAATGCAATGTTCTTTTCAAAGTCTGTTCTTCCTTCCTTCCTTCCTTTTTCCTTTTTTTCTTTTCTTCCCTCTTTTTCTTTTTTCTTTGTGTGTGTTTGTATGTGTGTGTGTGTTGGTCCTGGGGCTTGAACTTAGGGTTTGGGCTCTGTTCCTGAGATTTTTTTTTTTTCTCATGGCTAGTGCTCCATCACTTGAATCACATCTCCACTTCCAGCTTTTTGCTAATTAATTGGAGATAAGTGTCTCAAGGACTTTCCTGCCCAAGCTGTCTCTGAACAATGCTCCTCAAATCTCAGCCTCCTGAGTAGCTAGGATTACAGGTGTGAGCCATAGGTGCCTGGCCTAGCAATTTTTTCCAATGTTATTTAACAGCATTTTTGGAAGGTAGATTCAATAAGAAGATTCTGATGGTACCAAAGGTTATATTGAGTTTTAACCATCAGCTTTTGCTCTGAGGACTAGACCAGGAAGTGGGAACCCCTTTAAGAATAAGGCAGGAAAATGCCAACTTTAAATATAGTACTCTAAGTTTTCCCTTTAGGAAACAATTGAGCAAATTGGCTTCATCAATTCACGATTATTTTGAGATAGGGAAGAAAAACCTCTGGACTAAAATGGACAAGAAGTGACATCCAAAAAAGATGATGAGATTTCTGGCAAGAGGGGACCCACACACCCAGTGTGAGAGGCAGAGAAAGAGAGAACAAGGGCACATGCCACATGGAGAGAAGCTTGTCACAGTGAAGTGCAAGAATGTTTAGTGGGAAGAGACCATAGTTTGGAACTTGGCTGACAGAGTACCATTATTTATGTTTCTCCTAATCAGAGACAATAAGGCACTTGAGAAGAAAAGCACTCAGAATATGGATGTCATCATTTGCAAATATAACTTAATTTCATTCTATCTGTCTATCTATCTATCTATCTACCTCCCTGAGTTGAGACTGGGTCATTAACATCCAGATACTGTATCAACAATATTCAATCCATTCACTTCTTCAAGGAATTCCTACTGAGTGTCTGCCACGTGCCAAGCTTTGGGCAGGTTGCTGGAAAATATAGCAGAGCCTTGACCTGAGGGAATGTAGACCTTGGAGGAAACCAGAATAAACAAGTGATTAAAAAAAAAAACAAACCCTAGTATAATTTCAGTTAGCGATAAGGAACAGGAAGAAAATAAAAGGGAGTACTTGATAGGGAATGCCTGGTAGGGGTGTGGAATTTTCCTGGTAGTCAAGGAAGCATTTCAGGAAGATGACTTTTGTACTGAGATAAGAAGGAGCCAGCCACCTACAGATCTGGGGAGGAATTGTACCAGACTCACAAAACTGCAAGTCTGAGGAAAGAAAGTGCATGCAACAGGAGCTTAGGGACACAGAGGAGGAGCGTCTATACTGGGTTTTGAGAAATAGGTAGTGAGCAGGCACATGAGTTCCAGGAATAAAGGGCTCTTGGATTTTGTTCCAAGTGAAGTAGGAAGTCCCTGGTGATTTAAAGAGAAGGATGTTTTTATCTAGCTGGGCACTGGTAGCTCACACCTGTCATCCTAGCTATTCAGGAAGTTGAGACCTGAGGATTGCAGTTTGAAGCCAGCCTGGGAAAGGAAACTCCATGAAATAATAAACTAAGCAGCAAGAGCTGAAAGTGGCGTGGTGGCTCAAGTGGTAGAGTGCTAGACTTGAGCACAAGAAGATCAGGGATAGTGCCTAGGCCCAGATTTCAAGCTCCAGAAATGGCAAAAAAAAAGTTCTTATTTAGAGTAAAAGAATACACAGGAGAGAACGAGTAGAATGGAGGAAGCGCACAAAGAGTGGACATGGCATGGAAATGGAGATGTATCAGAAAGCTTCAATAGTGATCCAGGTGTGAACAAGATGATGGTGGCTCAGTCTAGGGAGCAGCCACGATAGGAAACTTGAGCTGGAAGACTACATACCATTTTCAATCTGGTTAATGTGAAGACCTTCCTCTTCCTTAGAGGAAGCACAGAGGGCTAATCAGGGCAGTAAGGCCTGAACTTCT